GTTGTAGTGTGTGTGTGTGTGTGTGTGTGTGTGTGTGTGTGTGTGTGTGTGTGTGTGTATGCATTTACAATAGAATCTAGAATGTATTGCCATATTGATATAACACTTACCCATGATCTCCGTACTCGATCTCCGCCAGAGCAGGGGCGTTTACGTCAGTGTCGAAGCCAATGGGTACGTCGAAGTGTTTGAACTTGCCAACGACATCCGCCATTCCCCAATGGGGCTTAGGGGTGGTTGTGATGTGGCCATATCTGAAGATAATTCAGTGGATATGAGCTGACTATGTGGATATGAGCTGACTATGTCCCTGTGTACACACGTCTCTGCATGTTCTGGTGCAGCCAAGTTTATCTGAAACAGAACGACTATAACTCTTTCACACGCCGATTAGTGATTGTGTTTTCAATGGTACTCTGATCAGACGTACCATTGCAGAGAATGAGCCAGACATCCTGGCTATAAATATACAGCACTTACTGCCAATTAAGTGAACAACGCCACAAACAAGTAGTGACTTCGTCAACAGAATATAATGAAACACGTCAATAGAATATAATGGAACACTTCGCTCTCCGTCGCCGGAAAGGGCATCGCTTGCGGGCATATACACAACTTCGAGCTCTAGCCCTAAACCCAACAAGCATAGAACAGAAACAGAATAAGCCAGTTGCTGGGATATGCGCAACATCGGTCAGATGTCGACTAACAGCGTATAGTCTTCCAAAGAAAAATATAATGTATCGAGGTTTTCAAACCTATTTATTGTGAGGCTGTTTGGAACTGTGTGAAACAGATGCGATACGAGTAAGTTTACAGATCTGCGATATAAGAGAATGCCACCGCTTGTGTGTAGTAGACGTACAATAGACAATGCGTAGACTGCGCGTACATGCCGAAGTTGTCAGTTGTCAACTCATCACACACACCAACTACATTGATTATACCGTAACCTACATTGCGTGCACGTGGGTGGTATTTGAATGCGATGTTTGTGCCATCGATGACATACAACCCAGTGCACGGCATACCTCTTCCACAACAAATTACTACAAATAAAACATATAACACTTAAAAGAGTGTATCATATACAAACAGAAAGTGTATCATATACAAACAGAGAGTGTATCATATACAAACAGAGAGTGTATCATATACAAACAGAGAGTGTATCATATACAAACAGAGAGTGTATCATATACAAACAGAGAGTGTATCATATACAAACAGAGAGTGTATCATATACAAACAGAGAGTGTATCATATACAAACAGAGAGTGTATCATATACAAACAGAGAGTGTATCAACTCGCAACCAGGACATACGTCTCGCTGTTTGGGTCTAGAATCAAACATACAACACTTAACGAGCGTATCAACTCATAACCAGAACATACGTCTCGCTGTTTGGGTCTAGAATCAAACATACAACACTCAACGAGCGTATCAACTCACAACCAGAACATACGTCTCGATGTTTGGGTCTAGAATCAAACACACAACACTTAACGAGCGTATCAGCTAACAACCAGGACATACGTCTCGCTGTTTGGGTCTAGGTCAACAGGTCCAAAGGAAGCGATTCCGATGGACACAAAGGGCTTGTTCTCCTCGAGCCACTTGTTACATGCGCCCAGGCTTTCGTCGGGCGTGGTGGTGTTCAGTTCGTGGGTGGCGATGATGTTTAAGGGTGTATCTTCACAGATTGCCAGGCTGTACAGGGAATGAATATGGAGCAGAAGGAATCTTACTATACCATTGTGCTATAGTATGAACAGGACAGTGTGGTCTACAATAACATTCAGAATTGTGCTAGTGTGTAGTTAGAATTGTGCTAGTGTGTAGTTAGAATTGTGCTAGTGTGTAGTTAGAATTGTGCTAGTGTGTAGTTAGAATTGTGCTAGTATGTAGTTGGTCGTGGTATTTGGGGGTGTAATTCCACAGACGGATAGGCTGTATGAACAACTATCGTGTACACCACACGATAGATTCGTAACCATATGTCCAGCAAGCCGCCATCTGCACCGTTTGACATGCCAGTTTGACATTAACTTCCCATCGTGGTTGACGTTGATGTATTGTTTGCCAGGCTATACCGATTATTAATATGAAAATATATTACAACATAACCTGTCGACCAGCAAGACGTTGCCGTGTATGTAATGACTACTTGGTGTTGGCTTCGTATTTGGCGATCAAATCAGTGGACATCTTCACAGGCCAGGTTGTACAGATAATCATATAAATATATATACTACACCATTGTTATACTACTACTAGCCATGCGTTATCTCTACTGCAATGCCGACTTGGAATTGACTTTGCGGTTGGTTATGATATGCGTGAGTGTCGTTCTAAATGGCCAGGCTGTCGAGTACAGAAGTGTTATCTATCCGACTAAAAGACAGACATTCCATTTAACTTCATGAATTCAAATCGTGGTAATCCACTGTTACTGTACTCCAAGGCTGTATAAACAAACAGGCAATAACTACAGCTCCATTCGTGACACATTACATTAGTACCAAAATTGACTACAGAGTTCAGCGATGTTGTGTGTGGGCGTGTTTCTCCGGGAGCCAGGCTGCACAGACAATGGTGTATATGTCAGCACTAATACAACCGGAGTGACAACTGGAGGGCCTTCATACATACCATACATTGGCAATACAGCGACAGACTCGCGAGTGCTACGCTGTACAGCCTGTGATCAAGGCTTACATTATCTGAATTTATTTGGAATAGTAGCGCCAACAAACATCACTGACGATACATGTAAGTAATATAGAAGCCGATACATGCGCCTGTGAATAGAAGACGATACATGGATACATGCTTACCGGATAGAGGTTCCCCCTAGTTCCACAGCTGCATGTCTGGTCATAGTGAAAGAGTGTGTGAGAAGTGTTCTTAACTTCATAGACAGATGTAGTAACTACACTACACAAGCATTGAACTTTTCTCTATATACCATTATAAAGTCCAACCATACCCACAAGCCTTTTCTGTTTATTTTCGACGAGCATTTGTCAGGGACATAAATGATAATATTATTTTTTTTAAACTATATCACGATTCACGAACCCCTCTGTGAAATTTTTGTTTTTTTGTGTTTTTTACAAATATCAAAACAAAACAAAGCTTTTTGCTGTTTTTTTAAAACCGCTTCCAAGTCCTGCTCCAACGTTTATAACCTTCAGAGTCCGGCATGGTGGAGTTGAGGGATGTATTGAGAATTTGAGAACGAGTTCAATACGTTCTACGTTTACCCTTTTTTTTTAATATAAAACTATTCCGTACAGTCATATATATATAAATTAAAAGCAGCTATATACTATTTTTTTAAACAGAATGGTTGACCCTTTTTTAACCAATCACCAGAGAGCAAGTGAGGGGATTAGAGTTGAAGTTTTGAACTAAATAGAGAGTGAGAGCCTCTCAGAAATGAGAAAGGAAATTCAAATCAGAGTCCATTCTCAGTCTCTCACTGCCCACCCCCCACTGTGCCCCACTGCCCGCTGCCCAGCCAGGCCCCACCGCCCGCCAGAGTCCCAGACTCCACTCAGTCTCTCAGAGGAATACAATAGGATTGAGGGGGACTGGGGACAGTGGGTTTATTAAAATAAATAGTCTTCATTAATTTAGTGATTTTGTTTTTAGAGGTGGCTATATTAGAGAGAATCAGTTCACATATAAACCTCAAGACCGGAGGGGATTTTACTATGGAGGTTGACCCAAATGTATTTGTTAATATACATTTGGGTCAACCTCTATAGTAAAATCCCCGCCGGTCTTGAGGTTTATATGTGAACTGATTCTCTCTAATATGCTTTTTATTTTATTTTTTTTAAAAACATAACGAGTGTTCATTTATATTTTTTCTAAAAAGAGAGGACAAGTGGGTTTAAGTTTTAGACGTTTATTAGTTACATATTAGTATTTAGGGTTTTGGGTTGAACGGAGATCACATCATTTGAGTATTTGTCATTTGTTATCACAACATCAACTCAGCTGCTGACTGATCTATATTTTTTCTTCTTTTTTTCTTTTGTTTTTACAAAAACTAAATGAATATTTTTGCGTTTTAAGTAAATATTGTTGTTTTTCTTGAAAACAAATGATGAATTTGAAACCCGACAGAAGTCGGAACTCGGGACTGCGGTTGTCAATCGCAACCATTCACTGAAGAGCAGAAGAAAAGAATTCTAAATATGTAGTAAATAAAAGGGCGACCATCCATAGAGTTGATACGTGGGTACACTCTAAGAAGAAATATCTCTCTGATCTGTCGATACGATACTGTATACTTGGGGTAATATATACTTTATATCAATAGCGGATAACATCAAAACTACAATTATCGCAAGTCAAAATGAAAGGAGGTATGGGAATAATCGCTTTTACTTGTGTATTGCACAGCCCTTTCACGATTTTCAAGCAAGCCTACTGACTCACTTCTGAAGTCACGGATATCTACAATTGAACATATATGTCGCCAAGTAAACTTTACATATGTATCCATCTATCCATATATCCATATATATATATATGTGTGTGTGTGTGTGTGTGTGTGTGTGTGTGTGTATGTATGTATGTATATGTGTGTGTGTGTATTATACACATATATATATGTGTGTGTGTGTGTGTGTGTGTGTGTGTAG